AGTGAGCTCTGTCCGTGTGGGCCTCTGTGTGCTGAGGGGCAGGTCTGCAGACCAGCGGCAGATGACCATCCCCGCAGCCGACAGTGAGCTCTGTCTGTGTGGGCCTCTGTGTGCTGAGGGGCAGGGGGCAGGTCTACAGAGGCATGACTGCACATGCATAATGTACAGAGGTGCTTTATGTGAGATAAATACCCAAGGAATGTACTAGAGAGATTCAGAAAGTCAGGGATAAAAACCTCTTTTTATGTTTAATGAATGAATTTTTCAAAATGTATTGTTACAATTTAAAGTGTTTTTTTAAATATAAACAACCACAAGGACTTTTTTTATTTTAAACATTCCAATGATACTCAAAGTTTCATGTAACAAAGTTGGAAGTTTCATTAGCAAAACAATTAATAGAAGAACATATCCATTGCAAAAATAAAAGATGAATTTTCATGGTGGGAAATTAGTGCTGAATCAGTGACTCCTGAAGTCATTAGAGGAGCAGTTCACGGATGTTTCATTTTCTTCTGCTACGACACGCTATGTGGGCAGCCTAACATTTTTCCCCCTTAGAATTTGATGTTGTCAAAGTTGCCATTAACATTTTACTCAGTTTTTTTGAAAAACCTTCACTATGTTAATAGTGTAGCTGTCCTAATCAAGACCATTCCAGATGTGCCTGAAATGGGTAGCACATGTGGATTAGCTTAAGTTTTCTTTCATTCTTTAAGTTCAATGGCAGTTTTAAGGAAGAAAATGTCAGTTACCTATTCCCCTCTTTTTAAATTAAATAATCTTAGCAGTCATGTAGAGAAATAATTTTTAAACGTTGTTACAAAGGGCATTTTTGGAACTGGCTGCTAATTTAAGACATTGGAAGATCATGATAAGCCGCGTATCGTCCAGTCACATGGTGGTAAATCTGTACGAAAAAATCAGAGTTTAGTTAATAATTATTCCATAATTACACATATCAGTTAATAATTAATAATTGTAATGGACATTTTAGCAAAAAGCCTCACTAGTATGTACAGTGGAGGTCTACTTCAAGGAAGGCAGAGGATTGGGTAGAATGAGGTCAATCAGATTTTTTTCAATTTCTTTCTCCAAAACACTTGTCAATTTCTTCCAAAGAACTGGATTATGACTCACCTGCCTCTCGATGTCCGAAAGCAGAGTGCTGGCACCTATTCGAAAGAGTTCTGGCTTCAGCCACTCATCCCCCAGTTCCTCCTTGACAAGAGACAGCCAAGCCAGGGAATCCTTGGCAGTGCGGATGCCACCTGCTGGCTTAAAACCTACCTAAAAGGGAAAGTAGAGAACAGAATAATCTTCA